GAGAGAAGAAGAGAAGAGAGACAGACAGACAGAGGAAGGAGAATAATCATTTGTGTAGGTTAGGTTGCCCTACACTCTTATTTATAGCTAAGCAATATTAGAGTAATTATATATTACCCGACACTAATTAATTTATGTCTAATATAGAAAATAAGAACTCTAAGAGTTGCTATGATCCTCTTATACGCAAACTATATATCTCTTGTTATGTTGTCTCTATGGAACACATTCATTTCTTTTATGTTCTATCTAGTTCTTCATTTCTCCACAAATTGATTTTTTTCTAGCCGATGTTCCTCCTTATACGTATGTGGGTGATATGATTGTGTCTAATATTCCTTCCTCATCTTCTTCCTCTAATTTGTTTTAACGTCTTCCTATTGTTCACACTTATGCTTGCAGGACTCTCGTTATCTCCTCTATAGTGCCTCCACCCTCCTCTCTTGTCATCCAATCTAGTTCTTATATTTTGGATCATGCTCCCTGCTATCCTCCACAAAAGCACGGACATAAACACCGATATGACACCTCACAGACACTATTTTTCAAAAAAGTAGGACACCAACACGTTGGGGTGCGTATTCTTGATAAATCAGTGTTTATATATAGATGTAAGAGGATTTGTTTAGGAAATAAGCAAGGATCAAAATTTTGTTTCGGTGCATTGTTTCAATCACCTAAGAAACGGAAACGTTTTAATCCATTTTGAAAACATAATAAAAAAAAATAAAAAATTTAAGAATTATTTTTTCAAAACATTAGTCGAAATATACCAAAATATCTTAAAATACTTTTGAAACATTCCAAAATAATTATACAAATGCATTGAAATATAACAAAACATTTCGAAATATTATGGAACACCTCGAAGTATTAGAATTTCAATTTCATAACTAATTCGTTTCGGTCTCCTTAGAAACAGAAATATTTTGGATGTTTTGACCGTTTCGAAACAATATTTTGATTCTTGAAAATAAGAAGCCCCTATGACATCTCTTCATCTGTAAATAATTCTCGATGTGAAAACACACAAGACAAAGGGTTGATATTTGAATAGGAAAAAGAATGGATCCCCAGGGCCTCAAATGAATTGTTCGAAAAAGGCCTTGTTTTTTGGAAAATCTATCTCGTGTCTGGTACTACATGGTTCCACTTTGCAAGAACTCCGAGCATTGGAGGTAGCTTGGCAAGAGATGAGCTCGAGCTTTATCATTATTTGAATCAAGCGAGAGCGTCTTTCTTCTTCTCAAGTGAAGTAGCTTGGGCCTATCACAAGAATATTTTTTTTATTGGGGCGATAGCTCTAAAAAGATAGATTGCCTATCTTTTCTTTCATCCCAGGAGAAATACGATCGGGAGTAGTTAATTCAAACCCCTTCAGTAAAATAAGCATAGCCCACACACTACAGATAATTGTTTTTATATATAAAATTATATAATTTATCAGAAATATAGTGCCAATGACATTATTCATAAAAAAATTAGTATTTTATGATAAGTAAATGTTATGTTTAATCATCTAGTGTGAATTTTTAGATAAACATTATAATAATCTATAATCATCAATTTTTTCATAGGCATGTACTATACATATATAATTTAAATGATTGTTCTGATTTTCTCAATTACTCTTTTATAAAATTTTATGTATCTTTTGCTTTTGTTATATTGTGAGTACAACTGGAACATGTCTAGTCTTAATAATTATGTGTTCTCTAATACATTGTTGTCAAATCGTGTATCGGAAGACATTTTTTAAAAATAGTGTATCGTATCATGTATCGTAAGATACGCGTAATTTTAATTTTTAACTAATTATTAATAAAATATATGTATATATCTTTGTAAAAAAAGTAAATAGACTCGTAATAACATAACATTTCATTAATATTCCACCAACTATTCAAGTTCCCAACATAATTCAATAATATCAAAATACAAAGATCTGTAATTCAAACTTTTAACATTAATTACTTGAACAACTTTAATATTAATCAGGAATTTTGAATTCAATTGAACAAAATTAACAACAGATTTTATTTTATTTTTTTTAAATTCATAACCACTGAAACGGCGTCGTTTTACTAGCTAGTGATTTAAAAATAAAAACTGTAGTAAAACAATGTTATTTCAACCCAAAAAAGTCAAAAAAAAAAAAAAAAAATAGAATCGTCACGTATCGGGCATATCGTATCGTATGTATCATATCGTGTATTGTACGATACGGTGCAAAAACGATACAGAGAAATGATACGTATCGTTTTTCAGGTGTATCATGACGTATCGTACGATACTAATAACTATGCTCTCACAGTATAAGATAGTTAATTGTCAAATTCTTAAGCTTTGTTTATCATATATAAACACATGTTTATTGTTTAGTAGTAGATACAGTCAAAAGAAGTGTCAGACATGACACCAAATAATGAAATTAAAATTGTCATTTAATAAGGGATATGGATAAAAAAGTATCAAACACGTCCTGGAGTCTTAGAGTGTCGGTGGATACGTCACCTTCTTGGGAGTGTTCGTGTTTCATAGCTCCGCGCTCACAAAAATGTTCGGATAGGTTTGGTTTCTCTAATTCGTGCTACTCTTCTAACTTATGTTCTTTCCTAACTCCTATTCACTCTTTTTTTGAACCCACCTCCTATAAGGAGTCTATAATTAATCATCTTTGGCAAAATGCAATGGATGAGGAGCTTTCTGCCTTACATAAGACCCAAGTTTGGGAGTTAGTGTCTCTACCCCTGACAAACGTATCATTGGTTGATGGTGGGTTTATAAAATCAAAACTAAGTCAAATGGTTCTGGAAAAAGGTACAAGGCTCGATTAGTGGCCAAGGACTTTGCTCAAGAGTATAGCCTAGACTATGATGAGACATTTTCTCCTATTGCAAAGATGACCACTGATTGCACCGTAATTGCAATGGTTGTTATTCCTCAATGGAGCATGTCATAGATGGATGTGAAAAATGTTTTCTTCATGGAGATTTTGCTAAAGAAGTTTTCATGACTCCTCATGGATTGTGTCACAGTTCTGGACTAGTATGCAAACTTCACAAGACTTTGTATGACCTTAAATAGGCTCCTAGAGTATGGTTTGCCAAATTTTCTTAAGTTGTATATGACTTGGGTTTTCGGGTTAGTGATCATGTTTCTATTTTTTTTCTACGACCTAGTTCCTTAGGTTTCATTGTTCTCTTACTTTCTGTTGATAATATGATACTAACAAGTGATGACATTGCTGGCATAGTATTGTTGTAAAACTAGTCGCAGGATTATTTTGAGATGAAAGATTTAGGTCAGCTACAATATTTCTTTAGGATTGAGATTGTTTCCTCTCTAGAAGGTTATCTTCTCTCACAATCCAAGTATACATAAGATGTTATTCAGTGAGCTCACTTGTCGGATAATTAGATAGTTGAGACACCTTTAGAATTGAATGTTCGTTACTCTTCCTATGATGGCACCCTCACCCTATATCGAACTAGTATTGACATTTTAGTATATCTTATTGTTATTCGTCTAGATATCTCTTATGCGATTCATATCGTTAGGCAGTTTGTTGTTTCCCCTACCACTGGAAACTCTGCACTCGAGTTTATTATTTTATTCTTAATCTCCTATGGAACTCAAGGCTTATTTTGATGTTGACTGAGCTGGTGACTCAATGGATCACTGTTTTTTTATCTCTTCCATGGTGATTCTCTTATTTTCTAGAAAAGCAAGAAACAAACTGTAGTTGCTCGTTCCTCTGTTGAAGCTGAGCATCATGCTATAACATCTGCTACGATTGAGATAGTCTTAGTTACATTGGCTGCTAGCTAATCTTGACATCTCCTTTTCAGCTTCTACACCTATGTACTGTGACAACACAAGCACTGTTAAGATTGCACACAACTCGGTGTTTCATGAGCGTACAGAGCCTATTGAGATTGATTTTCATTTTGTGCATCACTTTAATTGGACACTATCTCTCTTTTTTCTCCCTTTCACTATACAATTTGCGGATTTGATTATGAAATTTCACATGAATAGCGTGCTTTTGTTTTGTGCTTGACAAGTTCTTGATGTTTTCTGTGATCACATCATATGAGTTTGAGGGGGTGTTGGAGTAGTGCTAGGGGTATTTTAGCCACTTGTTTTATTTTTTGCTGGCCTAGAATATGTAATGCTTCTATTGTGTTTTCTATTTAATTAAGCTGTAACACAGACTAAGAGTGTCAATATATTCATTCTCTCTTGTTTCTTTTTCTTATCTCTTTGATCAAAGTTTACACTTTATTTATGTTTTAGATATAGTCTTCTGAAATTATTTAAAATCACAGCTATGCATGCAAGAAATACACCAGTCTCCTAATCTAGTGGTCAAGAGAGTTGTATTATGTTTTTCCTTTTTTGTGTTGCTGCTGTTGAAACTTATGCAATGAATTTCTTGTTACTTATTTTGAGTAGGATCCGGAATTGTAGATGTTGCATAGACCTGTGGTGAATATTAGTCGACTGCTCTATATATATATATATATATATATATATCAATCAATCATGAAAATATTCTATGTTGATACTTCGTTGTTGGATGTTTTAATTAGACATTATAAAGGAAAGGGTACAGCAAGAATGGCTGCGAGAGACTGGTCAGCGATGTAGTTTTTTTCCGCTTCATTACCAACTGGTTATTCAAGTTCACATAAGATGATACTGAAAACTGAATATGATTCTCCTCTATAAAGCTTATTTAAATTCTGTATTTACTGTGCTGAAGATAGTAATTTTTTCTCACTTTCACCCTTATGTAGGCGATCTCTATCGCAGCAGAATCTAAGCGAGAGGAAGAAAAGGCAAAGGGTGTTAATCCGGATAATGGGAATGAGAACCCTGACATTGTGCCATTTGAGGACAATGAAGAGGAGGAAGAGGAAGAGAGTGAGGAAGAGGATGAAAGCTACGGCCTGGGCTTTGGGGCAGGAGCTAAAGGTAGAGGGAGAGGGAGAGGAATGATGTGGCCTCCTCAGATGGCTTTAGCACGTGGGGCCAGACCTCTCCCTGGTTTCCGAGGTTTTCCTCCTGGTATGATGGGTCCTGATGGATTTTCTTATGGAGCCGTCACATCTGATAGTTTTCCCATGCCTGATATTTTCGGTATGGCTCCTCGTGCTTTTGCACCTTATGGCCCAAGATTCTCTGGTGATTTGATGTTTCATGGCCGACCTTCTCAGCCTGGAAACTTTCCAGCTGGTGGATTTGGGATGATGATGGGTCCTGGGCGTGCTCTTTTCATGGGTGGGATGGGCTTGGGGGCTCCAGTCACTGGAAGAGGTGGTCGACCAGTTGGTATGTCCCCAATGTTTCCGCCAGCAGCATCTCAACCTTTTCATAACTCAAACCGGCCAGTTAGGAGGGATCAGAGGGCACCGGCTAATGATAGGAATGACAGATACAGTGCAAATTCAGATCAAGGCAAGGGTCAAGAGATGGCAGGTAGTGGAGCAGATGATGAGGCACATTATCACCAGAGAGTAAAAAACCAGCAAGATGATCTTGGCACTGGAAACATTTTCAAAAACGATGAAAGTGAGAGTGAGGATGAGGCACCCAGAAGGTCAAGACATGGGGAAGGAAAGAAAAAGAGGCAAAGCTTGGAGGGAGATGCTGCTACTGGTTCTGATCAACTGGTCTAGTGGTAAACACTATCCAGTGAAGTCATCTCTTGTCACGCATATTTGTAACATAGGCTCGTTTTTGTCAAAAATCTTTACATTATTGATATTCAAATCTGAGGTGTATTGCTGAGTAGTTGAGAAAGTTGCGGAGCTAGAAAATTCCAGAATGCTGGAAATTTCTTAGGCTTTTTCTTTTTTGTTTTCTAGGTTTTGATTTGCAGACATCTTGAAATGTGTATGATTGGAACAACCATATCAGTGAAGGGGGAGATGTAATGTGGTCTGTGCCCCCATTCATTTATATACCTAAACAACTCACTCGCTACCATTGGATGTGATCCTGAAGGATAACAACATTGACTAGTCGATTCATGGAAAAGGAAGCATACTTTGATCTGTATATGTTAGGTTTTTATTTCTTTTTTACCTGTGGTTTACTCTTAAAGAAGAAACCTGTGCATGAAGAACTTTAGGCCCGCAGTAGTTTGTCTAGAAATATTTTTTCAACAGTCAGTGAATGAAGAAAATTAGGCCTGAAATTATCTGCCAAATTTATTTATTTATTTTTTTGGTTTGAACTGCAATACAACCATATTTGTCAAGTAAAGTTTGTAGTTATTCAATGTGAATGGTTTTCAGAATGATGTTGGTGGTTATTGCTTGAGTTTATTTAAGACCGTCGTCGGATGAGTTTATTGAAGCATGTTTTGTTTTATATCATAGATAGGTACTATAGTAAGATGCATGCATTTTTCTTTTGTACGATAATAATTCCTAATGTTTTATTCTAGAAAATTAGTTTACCTTGCGTTAAAAGGGTACTTCAAAAAAAAAAAACGAATTACATTTTGATAGATCAATGATTAAAATTTTTTTGCAAATTATCTGATGATACACAATTGGTGCCCTCCTGGGATATTCGAAGCACAAGTACCGAAAAAAAAAAAATTACTTCGTAGGGCTCAAGTTTGTTCCATGATTGTAGATTAATTTAGAAATAGCAAGGTCACCCTTCACAGGAACAATTCAATCTATAAACTGCGAACAATCATTATAGATCCAAGTGAAGGGGGACCCCATCTGACTACCAAAGTTAAGTTACAAAACCACAATATTTTGCGCATTTAGAGATGCCCTTCCACTGACCTTATAGATGTGGAAGATTAACATATTTTAGGCCCCTCATCTCTCTCTCTCTCTCTTTCTCTCTCCCTCTCTCACTAACACACACACACAAAACTCTAAGCATAAATTTTTTCTTGGTTCAAATTTGTCATAGATTTGGGTTTGGTGACTGAAAATCCACATTGAATTTTTCAATAGAAAAGTGACAGAGAACTTTTTATGCATTGTTTATTTTAAGATACTATACAATAAATCAAAGGCGTAATTCAATAAATCGAAGGCGTATTTTAACTTTTTAGGCATTGTTTATTTTAAGATACTATACAATAAATCGAAGGCGTAATTCAAATCAAATCAAATCAAAATAGGGGGAAGGATTTTTTTTAGGAAAAGGATTAAGAAAAACAGGATTCACCAGGATTCAAGTTGCACGTATACTAAAAAAAGAAGTTCAATAATCTCTATTTTTTGAAAACTCAAGAGGCAAAACATAATTTACGTAAACTTCAAGGATAGTTTGTGTATTTTGTACTTGTAAAATATTGGGGCTTTAGTTTGATAACAAAACAATCTATTGGGTCCCTAAGCTTTCACGCAAATTTTCATTAAACTCTTAAGGTTTGATTTTGTCTCAAGTTAATCCTTCAACTTTTCAAACTATTCCAATACGGATTTTCCGTCAAATTCCATCAAGATTGGTAACGGAAAAACTGCTAGTGCAGTTGCGTGATAGAAATTGGGCCGTCTGAAGGAAATTAAATGTATAAGAGTAATGCTATTGAGACTTAATTTGTTGATCTAATATCATCTTAAATGGAGACCCAAATTCTTACCCAAATTTAAGTGAAAAATAAGGTAAAAAAGAGTTTGAATCTCCCTTAATTTTTGGTTTAAAAAAAAATTTCTTTTCATTTAGTATAAGTATGACTCTAATATTGAAGAAGGTTTTTAAAAGTTCTTTACCCATTTTTAAAAAGGGTTACAAAAAATAGTAAGGGTTGGAGATGCTCTAATGCACTATGGGCTCGTTTGGTTGCCGTATTAAAAGTAGATGAATTGGATAAAATAATATAGTATAATACAATACAGATGGATTAAAAAAAATTAAATATGATATTAAAATAATACATAATTTTATCTTGTATTTCACAACACACAATATAAGCGTTGGCTAGTCGTTATTTAATCTATTTTGTTGTTTAGTTAGAGAATTATTTCATCGTATTAATGTTGAATTAACAAAAATACCCTTATTATTACATTGATGATAGCTTGATTTTATGACTTAGGGGTTATAATAGTAAATGTGTTGAATAATACGTTTGATTTGGATTATAACATCACCTCTCTTGGTAGTATTAAAATACCTTCATAATATAAGTCTATCATACAAAAAATATATGGTAGATATACGATAAATATACGTGTTTGAAATTAATACGGTATCAAATTTACTTACCAAATAAAGTATTAGGCCTGATTAAATAAAAAAATTATACAATCCAATATTTAATCCTCTTATAATATGTCTACCAAATGAGCCCTATAATTATTAGATTAACTGTAAGGCTCATCAAACATTACAACTTAGTTTTAATCCAATGATTACAATGAAATCATATCATTAAATTAGTAAATTAAGTCAAATTTTCGATTTAAAAACCATTGTTCAATAAAAAAAGAACACTAAAGTTCCTCATTAAAGCTCACATACTTTCCATGTGATGCAGCCCTAAAAACACAGTTCATACTATCTGCTTAAGGCACATAATAAACCACAACATATAAGAAAATGAAAGTCAAAGAGAACAGGAAAAAAGAAAAAGAAAGGGAAGACAAAAGAAAAAAATTGTATCTTTTGAGATTGCTGAAGGATGGAAGTGAACAAAACATTGACCCATCAAAATGGAGGGGTGGGTTCATAGGGTGGATTTGTTTTTTTGTTTTGTTTTGTTTCGTGTGGCATAATCCACCAACTATGCATGCATTCATGCTAAGTTATTCCACGGTTGCTAAGGAGATCAGGTATACTGGAAGTTCAATAGTGAAGAGTCAAAGCACGGATGTTTTGGCTGACGTTCATTGTGTATTTTGTTAGATTTAAATAATTCGTATATAAAATTTAGAATACTTAAATCATAAGATCAGATCATATTTATATGAAGCATAATATTTGATTTCTGAGTTTCTTTCGTGGAAGTAGAACGACAATGTTTTCATTTCATTCTTCAAAACAATCGAGACTCTTAATGAAACAAGCTAAATTAGGCTATAAAGTCGAGAGGAGACTTATTCTCCGTTTGGTAAGAAAAATGAAAAGTATGAGAGATACATTTTCTATCTTTTAAGGATGGAAAATAAGAATGATACATTTTCTTCTTTTGTGTTTGGTTGAATGTATGGAAAATAAAAATGACCAATTTTTTTTTAAATTTTTTTCGTCTAATATTAGGGGTGACAATCGAATTGTATCATGTCAGATTCTTATTGAGTCATAAAATTATAAGATTTTTATATTTCTTGTTCGCGTGTCAGGTCATTTTCAAGTTCTTGTTGAGTTATAATCAAGTTCGTATTATAAAATTCGAATCGACTTCGAGTCGTGTCATCGTATTGAGTCAAAATTTTTTACCCCTAGTTAAGATAAAAAAATTATTTTTTTTAATATAAATTTTTTAATTTTTTAATTAATTAATTAATTTTTAAATTTTTAAATACACATATACATATATTTTATCATTTTATTTTTATATAAAATTAATATATACATAATATATAGACAAATAAGATATATCTCAACACAAATAATTAATTTTCTATCCACTTTCTTTTCGATTTTGGAGAGATAGATTTTGGTGAGTTGGAAGGAAAGTTAATTCATCCACTTTTTCATCTTTCCTATTTTCTTTCCCTACCAAACATAAAGTTTTATTTATTCCTCCAACTTTTCATCCTTCCAACTTTCCATCCTTCCATTTTTTCATCATACCAAACGGAACATTAACTTGTCTATTTATAATGAATCTAATGAGTCCTCCCATTACGAACTATAATTAAATTAAGGCTTACACTTTATCGCCTCAACCACATTAATTAAAATGATTTACATAAACCCATCAAAATAAATCGCTTAACAATATTGGTCTCATCTCATTGAACCATAAATTTAGTCTATTTTTCACAAACCCAAAATTAACTATCAATTAAAGAAAGTCCAATGTGAAAATATTCTAACATTCTCTCACTTGGGCAACATTAATTGTAGCTATGTAAAAAGTAAAATAAAATTATTTGTTGAAAAAATGACTCTCGGGCTAATCAAACAAAAAATTCAATGTAGCCGCAAAATAAAACAAATATGGTCCTGAGACAACACCTCAAATACAACCTGGTCCAATAAAACTACTATTTTCAAACTATGGTGGTTTTTACATCTTTTATTGACATAGGACCGATCCATGATTACAAAAAATAATAATTCTATTGACATGGATCAAGATATGGTAGTGTAGTAATAAAATAGCACATCAATGTGTGATCTAAAAAATATGTTATTTTCATTGTCACTCATCCAGATGATTTCTGTTTAACAACATGCCTCAAAAATAAGTTAGATAAATCCATTAATTTCAATAATAAGCTAGTATATTAATTTCAATATTTTTATTAATAGTGTAATCAAATACATACTCCATTGATAAAATAGTCATATTTAAGACAAACACCAAGTTATAAAATTTTGTATAAATGACATATCATAAATGTACACATAGATAATAACAAGAAAATCGTGTTAATTATAAGAATGATCATCCAAAGATTTATTATTCATCAAATAAATGTGTTTCAACTATAATGAATAGAAAATATCACAAATGGAATTAAATCAATAC